AAGGAAAAATAATCATACTTGGAGGCAGAAGCTGCTAATCCCGAAAGCCTCTGAACAGAGACAAGAAGCCCATGAGAAAGAAACTAATAACTTCCAAAGTGTGGCTTTCAAAATTGAATTAATAAAAATGTCCCTCTTTTAAGCCACTATAATAATAAAGGTCTTATTTTTGAAAACCTTGACACACACAAAATGTCAGAGAACAAAACCCCACCGATTTCTACAGGGGACCCTTGCAAATGTTATGCGCTGGGGCCTTGGTGTCAGCAAGGAAAGGAGGGTAAAGGTTGGAGCCCCCATCCCCCACACTTTACCCTTTTCATCGACCACTTTACAGATTTAAATGAGGTACCACTTTCAGGCAAATCCCTGTCCATTGTGGACCCTTTATCCAGAAAATTATTAACTCGGCCCCAAAGTCGCCAAGTCTATATGAAGTCGGCTACCAATGTGCTATTTTCACACCTCAGAACACTGGCTTTGCAGAAAAAGAATTGTGCCGTGGATAAGGACTGATTATTCCCTTATCCAAATACGTCTGTATCGGGTGACAGATGAGATACTTTTCTTCAAATAAATACCCTGGAATTAGAACTGTGTGAGCCGTGTCAACTCCTACACCGCTGCAGGAGCCCTCCAGTGGAAATGAATAGGACCGAACGCTGGAGATCTGTGGGCACAGGCTATGGTCAAGGCCGAAGTATGCAGAGCTCTTCTAATCCTTAAAATCTTGCTGTATCTGCCTCTGCCATCTCCCACCCCCCTAAAATTCAAAAGAAACACAAAGGACAGCATTTTCTGATAAGGTATGAAGGGGCCCTAAGATAACTCAAAGTTTCCTAACTAAAATGAGTTTCCAGTGAAATATTTCGAAATACTCACTTTAGGAGAAGAGATGGGGCAGGGGAAGAAAGGACAGAGCAGGAGAAGAGAGAATGCAAAGGAAGAGAGGGAGAGAGCACAGGGTGAATGGCCAGAGGTAAAACGAGGAATAGGCTTTCTGACCTCCGGCCTACATTTCTATTTTGTAAGTCTTTGGTTTCCATGGGTCATGAAAAAAAAATTTTTTTTTTCTCTTTTAGATAAAGCTCACTGCAGAAAGTTCTCTACTTTCCTGAATATGAGAACCAATCATCAGACTTTTGGGGCCCACGGGGCTCTTGACTAAAGTCCCAGTGTTGGCCTTGCTTAGGGTTTGAGACATCATGGTTCCTAAGCTAGTAATTTCTCCTTGCTAGATCCTTGGCTAGGCTGAGGTCTTACGCGAGTCACATACTTAACAGCAACATGAGGGCGTGGTAATGTAGCTGGTTATGAAGAATCTGAAAATCAAAAGGCAAAGACAAGTTAGCATAGTCAGCATTAAAAAAAAAAATGTTTTCTAATCACTCACCTTTCTTAGCGTTAAAGTCTTTCCCTTCTGCCACCTCCTCAGGAGTTAGAAGTCAAAAGTTAACAAAACTGTCTGAGAATGTCTGGAACATTCTCGAAACTAGGAACCCGCCCCAGTCCCCGAAGTTTTGTCCGTTATCTTACGGCAGGTGTCTGTTTATACTTCTAATCTGCACCTCTATGCTCGCTTGTTAAACGTATTTTCTGAAGCAAGATCAATATGTAGAGAAGACTGTTCATGAAAAACATTAAAAAAAAAAAAAAAAAAAAAAACATAAAAGGCTGCAGGATTGTTCTCCTGAGCGTGTTCAGGGAACCCTTCTAGGAACAGTACCCTGGCCGTGCAGTTTTTGTCAAGAACGTAAAAACACCTTTCATTAGAGAAAAGAATGGCTTAAAAGCATTATGTACCAGATCAAAAAACAAAACGTATCTCTAGTACGAGGGAGGCCTTCTAAAGAGTAACTTCACGCCAGTGCCTGGAAATATGTCATTTCTCTCACTGTTGCCCCCTGGTGGACAGAGATGATGCCTTCCGCCGGCACCTACGAACATGTCCTAATGTGACCACGAGATGGCAGCACGTCACCAGTTTTCAAAGGAGCTCAAAAATCCTGAGGGGTTTTCTTTCTCAGAAACGGACTAATTGGTTCCAGATGAGGATGAGTAGGAAACCGTTGTGCAAAAATCACACGTATCTTTTAATCCCACACACACACAAAAATTGAAGTTACAGTTTAAGATCATTATATGTTCCGCAAAGAAATCAATTTATTGCCAGAACAGGAAAGAATATCTAAAAGGCAGGACTTTTAGTTTGTGTTTTAAAAACACTCCAAGCCCTGATGTGTAGTTACTTCATAGAGTGAACTGTCCGGGAGCGTCTCAACATATTTCCTGTAATTCTCTCTTCTTAAGAACAGGGGAGAATTGTTCTCCCATCAATGCTCATTGAGAATGTACAGATTCTCACCCAAGCCTGTATTAATGGTTGGTTCCTGCAAGCATATTTCTGCTTGCATGCTAAAAAATTATGTTGCCCAATTAACCTCCCTCCTACGTGGGCCAGGCTCTCCTAATGTTTTGTCCACCCTACTGTTAACATGCCTACTGTCATGGCTTTTTTTTAATCAGGATCTCTTTCTGCCACCACGAAAATTTAAAAAAAATAAATAAATAAAAAACAAATTGCACTAATAATCCTCTCTAGAAGGGTTTCGCCACAAAATGGTAACAAGCACTCTGATTTAATTGTGTCCCGGGTGCAAGATAGCACACTGAGTGATGGCCTCATCTAGGGAGCAGATCTGTAAGTGCCAGAGTCATTAAAGTCATGTGCAAGAGGAAAAGCTGGGGCGTTGAAAGGTTAAAGATGTATCTCCTGGCTTAAGCAGAGTCGCCGGCCTTCCTGTCTGCCCTGAACATTAGCTTAAACCGCTTCTCACAAAGCCGGTGGACCAGATTTTAAAAGGGAAAGAAAAGAAAGACCCACCATTCTGCCCTTGAAAACGGTCTCCCCCTGGGTCTGGAACCCATCGGTTGAGGCATGTCAGCGGCTGCCTCCGGGGAAGAAGTGTACTCCATGTTCCCATACGAACTTACAGCATGACCCATTTGTTAATTGGACTGTCTACAGGTGGTGTTCTTCAAAATATCAAAGGGTCAGGGAGGTGCTTGTGTCTCTTGGCATCGTCAGACGGCTGTACCAGCCGTCACCACACAAGAAAACATTCGGAGCGATTCCTTCCCTCCGGAGCCAGCCACCGCAGGGAAACCATTGTACATGACAACGCAGAGAAAGGCGAGCTGGCGTTAGTTTTGCTAGCTATGAGGCAGGGCCAAACATTTGCAAGCTTCAGACCCTGGGACAACCATGCCCTTCACTATAACTTTGATGATGATGCAAAAAATATATATATATACACTGTAACTTCTTGTAACTTCTTTGGATGAACAGAGGAAAACTATAGGACTGAGGCTTGTATGTTAAATTAAATTCCCTGTTTTTCTGGGTGAGAAAGCATCTAGGATACATATTTATTTTTCTCAAATTTCAGCAATTCTAGACCTTTTGCTTTGGACCATTATGCAGTCGGGTTGATTGTCGTGAGCTGGACGACAGTATCAAGTAATAACAGACACAGCCCCAGCCTTGATGAACTCAGAGACAGGGAGGATGACAGCCGTTCATCAAAGCATCAGATAACACACGTTGGAAGTTAAGACAGAGATGAGTGTGGTGGAAGATAAAGGGGCCAGATGCCATCAAGGGGACTGAGGAAGTGTCCTCGGTGGAAGTAATAACTCATTCTGAAGAGTGACTGAGACCCTCATACAGATGCCGTGACACCCCAAAAAGGGGATTCTGGTTCCAGGGGAGCGTAAAAAGAAGACTGGGAGAAATGGTGGCTGTTTATGAGACTAGATAGGCAGGGATGGTGGGGTGGGGGAGCCACAGATATCAAGCTATGGATTAGGTCTTTACCCTGGAAGCCACTGGGGGGGGGGGGAGAGGAAGAGAGAGAAAATGAATGCAGGACTAGAAGATGACAGACATTCTGTGTAGAACTCTGTGTGGCTGAAGGCACCAGGCATTTTTCTTTTCTTGCTAGATTGTGTTACTCAGGCTGCAGGTCTGGGGGACCTGATTGTCACAAAGGGGGGTGGGGGGAGCAGCTCTAGATCCCACAGCCAGTGTGGGCCTCCATAGCCAACCAATCATTTACACTTACCACCAAAGGTACAGGAGTCTTTTGAATTATTTGGCAAAGACACTTAAAAACAAACAAACAAACAAACAAACAAACAGATATTTAACCAATCTGATTTCGTTCGGCCTTGATGTTTATTAGTACGTGCAACAAGCGTTTGCTGAACGTTACGGTATCTCACGGCCTGCTGATGAGCCAGGCCCTGCGGATGCCCTTAGGAGGCATTCATTTTAAGTGAGAAGACAAGCCAGTGGGTAAGCCAGTGACGTCACTCCAGGAGGGGCCGAGTGCTGCTCAGACTGATGCTTCCTAAGGGAAGGTCGAGAATCATAGCCTACCCAGTTTGGGAGAGCGACGGGGCAGCCGTCTGAATGATGGCGAGTTTTTGACAGCAATGTGACTGGAGCGACTGAGCAAACAGGACAGACACTGAGGAGAAGACCTCTAGCCTACAGCACAACGGCTGTGAAGCTTGAGGTTGTAGCGGAATGGCCTCTGAGATTAGGAGTTATGGGTCAGTTAATGTGGATGGGGACAAAAATGGCAGGATGAGAGTGGGGATCAGACACATTCTATGGTTGCATACAGCACAGTCAAACTTACTTCTAGACTCCTGGCTGGAGTCCTTGTTCCTGTCTACCTGCATACTATGTAGCGTGGGGAACCAGTAGCTGCCATTCTTTTGTTTGTTTGTCTGTCTGCCTGTTACTACCAGTTGCTCTTTCCACTCACCTATCACTCTGTCTCTAGCAACAGTTTCTCTTGTTGCCCTGTCTGCCACCTGCCACCTTCTTCTCCTTTTCCTTTTAGTGGGAAGTAACAAGCCACCTTCATGTTTATCCTCAAATGATAAAGTTTTTTCATTTGTCTTTGTTTTGCTAAATGTCTCTTTTTTAGAAATTGGCACCACCGTGCACTTCAAGCAAAAAGGTATGGTTCCTATTTATAAATACCTTCTAGACTTTAGTCAAGATTCCACAGCTGATATCGTGTGGCCATATGCGCTAGAGTTTGATTTAGCGTCATGGTCTGTGATAAAAAAAAAAAAAAAAAAAAAAAAAAAAAAAAAAAAAAAAAAAAA